TTATACAGATTATCAGGTATTTAACAAACAGAAATGAAATAATATATACAGTCTGTAATGTAAATGTCCAGCGTATTCCAAAATAGAGAGGGTCCTTTATTATTTAAACGTGGTTAATGTTTGATCTTGGTAATTTTTATATATTATTCACTATAAATGTAAATAGTGTACGAATAATGTTCATTATTTTTTATAAGTTTGCACTACGTTGACACATTGGAATGCTGTGTAAATGTCATTAATATAAACAATTATAAATTTAAATTATTATTTAGTAACAATGCCAATTTGTTTGTATTATTTATATACACCCTGGTATAATATTAATTACGTAACTAATATTAGATGATAAATGTAATAAACAACTTACAGATTTAATTAGTTAATAGAGCTAATCAGTTAACTAGATAAGTTATCTAACATTATAGACTGACCAGATGTCCAAAAATGGCCTGGATTGTCCCGGAATTAGATGGCCCGTCTAGAATTTTACGAATATTTTAAACATTAAGTCTATAGAGGCGTCCAGGATAATGAAGCTGAAATTAGTAAAATGTCCAGGAATCCAGGATTATAGGGCTGATTTTTGCCTAAAATCCAGGATTGTCATAAACACATCTGATCAGTCTAGTTATCTACTATGTGCTATAGATAAATTATGCCCGTTTACACAAAACACTTAATGGCACGCTATTTAGGATTACTAATCATATTCAAGCACGATCACTTTAGGTTATCAAACGTGCTTATTCAATTATAATAGACTAAAATGATAGTTTTGTTATCTCTTTTGATTACAAACCAAAAACAGTATAAATATCTCTCATAACTCACAATAAAATTCATTATTCTTTGTGGAAACCAATTTATTTAAGTAATTGTTTTAAAACAAAATATAACTTGTTAATAATGAAATCAGTAGCTATTTTCATAACCCTATTGGCACTGTGTGCTCTAGGTAAGTTTGTCACAGTCAAAATGTTTATCCTGTTATAATAATTTCATTCATCTGGTTAAATCTATTGCAGGCCATGCGTTGGATCAGGCAATTTGGAGCCAGTTCATAAATGAGGTGCAAGGCGGTAAACTTAAAGTGACAAACGGCGAGCAAAGCCTAATTGATGACATCAAACTTCATCCGGAAAATAAATTTCAACACACAACTTATTGCGACCAATTAATCACCATGATTGATAATGTACGTACCACATATTTGTGATTTAAGATTACATTCTATTGCACATTACATTACACAATATAAACTTTATTTTTTACAAATATATGATTGTTTTTAAAAAATATTTTTCTTAATTATACATAAATTAATTTTGTTATATAATTCATGTATAGATCAAGATCAAAATTGATTCGTTTGGTAAACAATATGGCGGAAAAATGGATCCAGCTCAAGCATCTGCCTGGGCTCACGAAGGTAGCATGTGCGTTTTTATAAAAACAGATTTGGAAAACGTTAAATTAACTATTTAAAGTTAATGATTAAATAAAATAAACTTTTATTCGCATTCATATTTTGTATCAATTATTTACTTTTCAATTTAAATTTTAATGTTTATTTGCAATATAGGCTAAAAACTTAGCTTAAATTTTGAATTTTAAAATGAAACTAAAATTTAATTTATTACAATTAAGTCTAACATAACCTGTCTATTATCTAACTTTGGCTACAATATAAAAAAAATTTTAATGACTACTTTATTAAATATAAAAACAGATAACATTTAATGTTAAAGTTTTAAACGTTAATTTAATTTGAATAATGTCAGCACATACTAACAAGAATTAACCAGGCATGTAATTCAACTATGCAACTACTTATATATAATTATCTACATTATTCAGAATTGGTTAAAATAAGCAAGAAAATTTACGATTAATTTTTGGCTAACGAGGTAGATTTTGGCAGCAATTATTGTTTGATTAAAAAGAAATAAATATATATTTAATTTTATATTGTGTCAATCAAACTCTAAGGGACACATAGTCTTAATGTTAAAAACTTACCTATTAATTACAATTATCAATAAACACATTATTTTTATTAACAAAATTGTGTTAATAACTCTTTAAAAATTATATTAATTAATTATATTTGAATTTAAAAATTCAATAAATAAATAAATAGGTGTTGTAATGCAAAGTAAGATTTAACTAATTCAAATTATGCGGATTAATAAATTCAGTTTATTCGTCAAATAATTTATGATGTTAATTATAAAACAGTAAAATAGCAATATGTTATAAATTATAATTTTATAATTTATAATTATTGAATTATACAATATTAAAATAATTAATTTTACTAATCATAACAAACTAGATTATACAAGCATTCACTGTAAATCTATTTATCTACCATATTTACAGTGACCATGGTACAAACATAGTTGATGCCAAATCTACCTGTTATTTCAAAAATTAAGTCCAGGTCAGTTAGGGGCATTTCCCGGTGAAAGTCATGTGGTATGGATTGGTTCAAATACAACGTCTGCTTCACACCTGCCTGGAGGGGACATTTGGTGTGCTTACAAGCGTCCTGTTCGAAGTGGGGCAGTGATACAGCGTTCACGAAGTAATCGACTATACCTTGTTTATAACGAATAACCATGTCAAAAGATGGTTTTTCGTAGCTAGCATCTAGTTTAAAATATAAAAATTTATATCATTAATATAACTTAATATAATGAATGAAAGTTAATGTGAGAGAAAGAGAGAGATATTGTTATTCAAATTTAAATAAAAATAAACATGATAATCATTTTAATATATTAAACCCAACCTGATATATAATCAAACTTGATCAAGTTGGTGTCCCCGCGAACAATACTGCAAGGCTTGCCGGCATCGCAGCCGTAGATTTCAAAGTTGGTCACTGTTCCCGCAGCTTGCATATCTAAATTGGCAATTCATTGATCATTATTAATAATTTATTATAGAAAGGTGATTTTTAAGTAAATGTTATTTATAATTAGATATTTAATACTAACCACATGGTCGACTTGGTACATTGCCCGAAAGAGCAATACTGATCAACATGGTAAATGTTATATAACTTATAATAGCCATATTTAAATAAAAATGAGTAGCTTAAACTAATTGCGGAACTAGCAGTAATCAAATTAATGATAATAATAAATAAATTCAACCGTATTTATATAAATTGTTTATCAAGAAAACCTTGTAAATAAATTTTTAATAACAACTTTAACTTATTTATTGAATTCAATAATATATTCATTATTTAACGTATAAAATCAAAATTGTAGAATTACTTAGAATTGAGTAATCAATCAGGATTTAGTTGATCTTATAAAATTGCAATTTACTGGGAAAGCCATTATTATCAAGTTAACTTTACGAAAACATTTTGTGATAGCTTATCATATTATAGTTATTCAATATGATTACAGAAAGCCAATTTGGCTTTATCTTTAACATGCACTAAATGTCCAGGATAAGCATATTTGATAAGTAATTAATCGTGTGCCAATTATCAATTAGGTTATTATTATTGATAAATTATGCCTGTTAATAAAAAACATTTAATGCAACTATTTAAGATTATTAAACATATTCAAGCAAGATCATATTATGTTATAGAAACGTGGTTATTCAATTAAAAATAATAATTTTATTATCTCCTTTTGATTAAAAATCAAAAAACAGTATAAATATCTTTTATAACTAGCTATAGAATTCATTATTCTTTGTGACAATAAATTTAGTTTAAGTAATCGTTTAAAACAAAATACAAAATATTAATAATGAAATCAGTGGCTATTTTCATGACACTTTTGGCGGTGTGTGCTCTAGGTAAGTTGTCAATGTCAACATGTATTAAACTGGCATAATAATTCATATGAACTGGTTAAATATATTGCAGGCCATGCGTTGGATCAGGCAATTTGGAGCAAGTTCATGGGTGAATTTAATGATGGTAAACTTAAAGTGACAAACGGCGAGCTAAGCCTAATTGATGACATCAAACTGCATCCGGAAAATCGCTTTCAACACACAACTTATTGCGATCAATTAATTACAATGATAAATAATGTACGTAGTCTATATGAGATGTGTAAACTTTTACAACATATTGATTAATGTTTATAAATATGATTGTTTATAAAAATATATATTTTCCTTAATTATTTTAATTAATGTTAATTTTGTACAATACATGTATAGCTCAAAATCAAAATTGATTCGTTTGGTGATCAATATGGCGGACAATTTGATTCAGCTCAAGCATCTGGTTGGGCGCACGAAAGCAGCATGTGTGTTTTTATAAAAGCCGATTTGGAAAACATTAAATTAATTATTTAAATTTATTGATAAAATACTATGAAATGTTACGTTAAAATAGTTTTAAATTTTAGTTTTAAATTTTTTTCAAATAAACTGCATTGTGTTCAAAATTAATATTATTTGGTAATAGTTTTGATATATTTGGTTGAACTGACCAATAACATTTATAAATATCTAATTTGGTTGATAAAATAAATTCAAGTTTTATTCGCATTCATATATCATATCTATTCTTCGCTTTTCAATTAAAACTTCAAATTATATTTAAAATACTTGGATATAATTATCCGCAAAATAATTTACAATACATTTTTAGCTAACATGCTAGATTTTTTGCAGCAATTATTGTCTGACCATTGACGAACTGAATTTGGTACATTGCAAATGTTATACTGTATATCTTATAAAAATTATTTTGGAATTATAAGTTATGTAATGAAAGATAGATGTACATTAATTGTGTATTAAAATGTTATTAAGTAACTTTACTTACAATGCAGACCTTGGTATTATATATTATTTGAATTTAAAAATAAACAAATTACATGTTTTAATGCAAAATAAATTTTTTATTAATTTAAAATTATTCTGATACTTTTGTTAATAATTTATTATCTTAATTATAAAATAGGTAATAAAATTTTATATAACTGAAAATTTATAGAATTTAGAAATAATTAATTATACTGATATAGAATAGATCAAACAAACTAGCGATAAATCTATTTATCTATCATATTGACAGTAACCATGGTACAAACATAATCAATTCCAAATCTGCCTGCTATGCCAAAGATTAAATCTAAGTCTTTTAGAGGCATTTCCCGGTGAAAGTCATGGGGTATGGATTGGTTCAAATACAATGTCTGCTTCACACCGGCCTGGAGGGGACATTTGGTGTGCTTACAAGCGTTCTGTTCGAAGTGCGGCAGATCTGCCACTGCGTTAACAAAGTGATCGACTGAACCCACTTTATAACGGATAGCCATATCAAAAGATGGGTTTTCGTATGGAGTACCTAGTTTCAAATTTAATAATATTTTCATTAATATAGAATAATACAATTTAATAAAATGAGCGATGAATGTAGGTGAGAGAGAGAGAGAGAGAGAGAGAGAGAGAGAGATATTTATATTGTTTTTGGGTTGTAATCAAAACAGATAACAAAATTATTATTTTAGTTTATTATAATAATCACGTTTCTATAACCTAAAGTGATCTTGCTTAAATATGATTAGTAATCTTAAAGAGAGAGAGAGAGAGAGAGAGAGAGAGATTAAATTATGCTAAAAATTTAAAAAAAAATAAACATGGTTGTATTTTATTTAAAACCTACTAGATATATAATCAAACTTGAGCAAAGTAGTGTCCCCGCGAACAATACTGCAAGGCTTGCCGGCATCGCAGCCGTAGATTTCGAAGTCGGTCACTGTTCCCGCAGGCATGTGATCTAAATTGGCAATTTATATATTATAATTATATAGTAATGATTTTTCAGTAGATATTAATAAAGGCGCAATACTAACCACATGGTCGGTTTGGCACGTTACCCGAAAGGGCAACACTGACCAACAATGTAAAAGTTATGTATCTTATAATAGCCATTTTATATATAAATTAGCAGCTAGAATTAATACTTCAACTGGTAGTAAAAAAAGTAATTGAATGAATGTTGTATACAAATAAATCCGCACTTATTTATATAACTTGGTGATCACTCAAAATTTTGTACATAAATCTTAAAGAATAATATTAACTCATTTACTGAATTTAATAACTTATTTCTTATAGCCATAAAAACAAAATTTTAGAATTTCTTAGAATTTAGTAATCAATCAGGATTTAGTTGATTTTACAAAGTTATCATTACTGTGAAAGTCATTATTATCAAGTTATCACTACAAAAACACTTGATAATAAATTATCAATATGCTTTTAGCGGCTATGTTTAAACACATATAATTTATCATTTTAAATTTATCAATTTATTGTAATTCAAAATTATTACAATATACCAATTTGTTGTATCTACAATATGCACTAAACATCCAGGATAAACTTATTGATAAGTTATTAATAGTGTGCCAATTTTCAATTAAGTAATTATTAATTTTTTTTATCTGTGTCTAAATTTTTAGATATTTAAACAAACAAAAATGAAATGGTATACAATGTCCTTAATATAAACAATTATATCCTTAAATTATTAGTTAGTAACAATGCACTTTAAAATTATAATGTGTTTTTTAATTAATACCGTACTATCTCTATCAATAAATAGCAATATTAATGATGCTGCAATAGTCATAATTGAATTACGAGTTTAAATTAATTATTTTATCGATGAAATAAAAGTATTTTTAATAATAAAATATTAGTATAACAGTATATAATTAAAAAGTTAATTTAATTTTAACATGGTCAAAAATACTGACAAGAATTGACCAGGTTTGCAATTTTCAACAAATACTTGTATATAATTATCTGCACTATTTAGGGGGGGGGGGTTGAACTAAGCAAGAAAATTTACTATACTTTTTTGGCTAACACGGTAAATTTTGGCAGAAATTAATAATTGTGATTGCCAATTATTGTCTGACCGTTGAAGAACTGAATAGATTATAATCATTTAAAAATAAACATAATTGAATTATTTAACCAAATGCATTAAAATATATTCTAAATTTAAATGTGTCAATATATTTATTTTAAGTTATAAATCATCTATCTACACATTAAATATATGATCACACTAATTACATTACTATGGGTAATACTTTACAGTTATTATATATATTTAAATTTATTAAAAGAGTATCTAATCTTATCGAGATAATATACTTATTAATAATAAGTTATTATAATACACATTCTGCAAACAATATTAGTAGAGCGAGCACATGTCCCACTGATAACAATGTAAATCCAACGGTCATCTCGCTAAGCGTAACAATAAACATGTTTTTATCGCTATTAGCAACATGGTTGTTACCAAGACCTTGGTCATTAATTGATTTATTTAGATCGGCGGTACGTTTCGTACGATTCTGCATATTATCGATAAAATTATAGAAACGTATTTGATTTTCAGCCCTTTTCAAGTATATCCCGCATAAATACAAATACCGAAAACTAAAGTTAGATAAAAAATTAATAGAATTAACTATCAAAATGATAATTTAATTACAATCATAATGGATTATCTATTAAATACTTACAACTGTTTAATCTTGCGCTTAATTTGTGGGTCAAGTGTTTTACGCATAGGAAACCCACCCATAAGGAACGCCTGCCCCTCCTGGGACTGGTGCCACCGGTTGCGCGAATAAAACGTGATAATCTGATTTATATCGTACTCGGACGCGATCATAGCATAGCCTGTCCTATCCTGTAAACGGCGCAGTGTGCTTGGTCGAAAATTACTACCAAACCCTATATCTTGAATCCGGGAGGCGAGTACGGGGTATCTCTGAAAATATAGGGTAATATGTTTTTAATTGTAACAATTATAGAATTTAATACATCGATAGCCATTCTATAAACAGTTGAGTTGGTGTCCATAAGTGGTATGATTTTATCATGGTCAATAAGATCTTCAAATGAGTCAATGTTATACTCGCGTCGCGATCTCAACAAGGCTTGAATGTCACTAACAAACATTAGCCGCAATATGTAAGTTGATATTAGCCATACGGCGATAAGCATGGTCGATGTATTATTTCTACTTTTATTGGTATATGATGAAGCTGGAATTTTTAAAACACTAATTAATAATCATAATAAATCATGGTAATGACTGTAAAATAATACAATAAATAGTACATTTCATGTAAAGGGCTATTTCAGACATACATAAATTTTTGTATTTTACATAAACCTTTTTTTAAAAAATAAATAATGATTATAATTCTAGTTTAAATTAGTGTTTAATTAAAATTATATCAAATAAAAAATAATATTTTTTACATTAATATAATAATGACCATAAGATTCCCATCCAATATATTAAAATTTTTACAATGGGTTAATTAAAAAACATTTATTTGAACTATTTTACAGTCTATAAAAACATTGTCTATTTCTACTAGATAACTAAACTTTTAAATGACATGTAATCTTACATACTAATGACATGTATGAATAATGTCATTGGTCTATTTGAATACATTAAATACAATTATTCAATCTACTTTAAATCACTTACACTGTCCCACCATAAGGCCAAAATAATCGATAAATATAAATTGCCGGTCGCATTTATATTTTACACAGGCACTATTTATTGTAGCGCATAACACGTAAGCCAAGAATATCATGATCCAAATACGATAATTGAATATGTAAAATATTTTCAGCACGTTGTCCGGCCTGAGTGTAGGCACCGATAATATGGACAGTAGGCGTGTTGTGGGCAGGAATGGGCTGTAATCGGCCACTCGTTGTCTATCATTATCCGATGAAAAGTAGTGCAGTATTATGTCTGCCGACTATAATTCAAAACATGATACAGTAGTTTGAATATTTTGTACATTGTGTGAATTAATTCAGAACTAAACAATGCATAAGTACATTCAAACTTGTTCACTATTAGTTTGCAAAGTAACTTTGCAAAGTGTTAGTTTGTAATAATTTTGATCTATGAAATAATGATATCTTTAATAATGTTACTTACCCCATCGTAAAATAGCTTTAATATTCCATGCCATGTATGGTTAGCGTAAAAACCACCAAAAGCTTCATTCGTTACTTTGAATGTTACACTAGGTTAAACATTTTATATAATTAATTAAACTCTATTTACTTAACAAAATATTCATTTTAATATAAGTATATTGTACTAAAAATAAACAACTGTACCCCCAACGTAGTGTTGTAGATATAAGTTTGATCATGTACATTGATATTGTGCAAATATATTGCTCATCTTCATATTGAATAACCTATTAATGCAAAAATCATTGTTAATTAACTTTAAGTAAATAATTAATTTCTTACCTCGCTGGGATAGGCTGCGATCACAATATGGTGCACTGGTTTAGCAACAAATGATAAATTTCTACCCTCTACCCAACGTTGACAAAAATAATCCACATCCCTATCATCAACCTTTGACATTTTAAACTGTAAACATAAATCGTGCAAAATGTCCAAGCTAAAAATATTTCAAAATTTCACAAAATAAAAATAATAATAATATTAATTACTTTTATTTTTGTATATCTTATGTTTATTAGATTTTTTAATCAATATTACAAGTATTGATCTAGTTAAATTAGGCTATAATATATTATATATTAATCACATGTTAAATTCTATATTATTACTGCTATAATAAGATACCGTAAACTATAATTATTATTGAACATTATGCTCGTACATAGAAATAGTGAATTAATAATATGCAAATTATACAAAAATATACTTTGTTATTAAATGTAGCAAAATAATAAGCCATAAGTGTGCGCATTGTTTAAGTATTGTTTATTTATATTTTGTTTCCCACCAAATAGAGTGTACATATTGTATGCATTTATTTCACACTTGAATTCAGCAAAATGTATAAAAATATTAATTAAATGAAATTATATTACATACCTGTTGTATCTATTGTATGATAAATGTATTGAAAGTTATGTAACAATTAATGTACATTTAAAGCTAGTAAATAGATTTCTTAGATATTTATTTTTATAATTAAAATTTTAAATTGTAATAACATATGGGAATACAAATTTAAAAAATAATTAACTTAAACATCATAACAAATTTGATATTATTAAATATTAAATAATTTTTTCAAAAGAATTTTGCAATTAATTTTAACTTTCTTGTAAAAATTAAATAAATTTTAGTACAAAATAATCTATCTAATATTTTTTTTATTAAACTATTATACAATAAATTATTAATAATAATAGTATTATCTGTCACTTGATATATCAGCTTATTATTCTATTAATCTATCACGAGTTTTATTAAATGTCGGATTCATGCTCATAGATTATTATTATTTT